CGGACCCCCCAATACAGTAAAACTGCACATTTTAGAGTGGCCTTTTATTGTGGCCAGCCTAAGGCACACCTGTGCAGTAATCATGCTGTCTAATCAGCATCTTGATATGCCACACCTGTGAGGTGGATGGATTATCTCGGCAAAGGAGAAGTGTTTACTAACAGATTTAGACAGATTTGTGAACAATATTTGAGAGAAATAGGCCTTTTGTGTACACAGAAAAAGTCTTAGATCTTTGAGTTCAGCTCATGAAAAATGGGGGCAAAAACAAAAGTGTTGCGTTTATAATTTTGTTCAGTGTATATATATATATAAATTGCCTCCCCCCCAATGTTCAAGTCATGGTTACAGCCTTGGAAGTGATGAATACAAGCAAGTAAATGCTCAAAAGATTACAAATGTCACTGATCTACAGCAATTTTTACCATCTGAATTCTTTCACAACGGTGTGAAACTCATAAAAACTCCAGGAAACGTTTGCCGTTATTGCTAGTTATTGGGGTGTAACCAGTCACTGACATAAAGGGGGTGATCACCCTCTCACAGGTAAGTGTTATATATCATTCTTAAAGAACACATGAAAGGCGTGTCTTGTTTGGTTTTGTTTATGAATGGTAATTTCAATGCATTTTTGTCTGAAGACCAGATGCATGATCTTGCATCTTTATATTTGTGTATACTTTGCATGTTGAGCGCACCTTGATCCAGGGTTCGGCGAGCTCTGTGTATGTCTGTGGGATGTGCTGTACTCCATACTGTGGGAGAGAGAAGTCGCCCTCCTGCCCCGTTCTCGAGCTCTCAGTACGAAGAGATGAAGACGTTGAAGAAGAAGCAGCTGTTTGACTCTGAGAGCGGTTTGTTGTGTTTTCCACTGTAGATGGTGCTTCATAACTACACACACACACACACACACACACACACACACACACACAGATATACAGTTCTCAGATTATTTGTCTATGCAACATCCACTGTACACTACTGTTCAAAAATTTGGGGTAATTTTGGGGTCTTTAAAAAAATTAAAAAATAAAATAACATTTATTCTGCAATTAAATGCATTTAATTGATCAAAAGTAAAATAATTTCACATTGTTACCAAAAAACGTTCACAAAAATTTAACATAAATGCTTTTCTCTTGAACTTTCTATTCAAGAATCATCAAATATACATCTATACAAAAAGGATCAAATGAAGGATCATGCAACACTGAAGAGTGGATTAGTGAATAAATCACACCAATCACAGGAATAAATTACATTTTACAATATATTCAAATAGAAAAGTTATTTTAAATTGTAATAATATTTCACAATATTACTGTTCCTATTGTAAAGCGTCCTTGAGCCCTGGAAAGGCACTATATAAATAAAACTTATTATTATTATTATTATTGTATTTTGGGTCAAATAAATGCAGCCTTGGAGAAACTTATTTCAAAAACAAATAAAAAACAAGATCTCAACCCCAAACTTCTGAATGGTAGTGTACGTTGTAAATCATATCTTATGGTGCCAGCTGAAGTATCATGATAAAACGTTTGGTTGTCATGTTTCTTATTAGCAGATATAATTTATTCCAACTTTCATCAGTTGGTCTGCTGGCAAACTGTAGTATTTTTTATCATTTTGTCCTTCTTTTGTAAGTCGCTTTAGATAAAAGCATCTGCTGAATGCATGAATGTAAATGATTTTGTCATTATACAACTTTTATTCTAATTAATTTATAAATAGTAGCTACATACAGCATTAGTAACAGTACTTTAACCATTTATGTTTAGAAAAAACTGCTACACCAACATAATTCAGAGTCTCGGGTATTGAAATACTGGTCAAAGTATTACAAGTGAGCAGCTCCATGGCACATAATTAACATATTTTTGCACTGAAATGGTGACTGACTGTAGAAGACAGTTTACACTAATGGCCACCATAGTGTCTTATAACACAACAAAACAATGCATGTGTGAGCTCTAATACTTCACAGAAACATCACAAAAGGCAACAAACCAAACCTGTGGTTTGTGTTCTTGTAACCTGAGACAATAAGACCATGATGCATAGCATCACGACAAATGGAGGGGATTTACTTCAAGAAATTTGAATAATTGCTGTTTCCTAAAGAAGAAACATCAGGATTTGGTTTCATGCGTCTCTTTGTGTGTGGGGCCAATCTCTGGATGGTTTGCGGGAAGTTGGAAAACACCAAAAACTGACTAGCCGCTAGCATGTCAATCCCGGGCAGACACACAAACATAGCTGGTGCCAGGCTGTCTCGCTTACCTAACCACCAGAGAGGAGTCGACACCAGACTCTTACATCTTAGAGTAAATACAAACAGGACAGATCCCAAATGTGTATGTCCTGAATGAAGCGTCAGCACTGTGTGTTTGCCAGCTTCATTAGTTAGCACTGCATTCTTAGACTCCATCTGTGTTTGGGCTTGTTGGGTTCGATCCTGCCTGCTCGGGTTTATGTAGGTCTGCTGGTCAATTACACGCCTCCTTAAACACGAAAATATTCCTGAGGTACTCTGAGGAAACTAACGCTCATTAAACGTCTGTAACTGCAGCTTTTAGCTTCAGAAAGTCAATTAATTTATACATGAACGGTTGAATTTACCTGTAAAAATCATGAGACTTCCACTTGGCTCTACACAGAGGGCAGATTAACGGATCGTGATTTCTCCGGCACTCCTCGGCCCCTGAAAAACAAACGGGACACAAGAGATGTTCACTAAACTCATCACATGAAGGGCTGTCAGGGGATCTAGGGCTAGAAATGGGTCATGGATGCTCACTCAACAAACAACTAGTCCGACTTCAAACCGTCTCCTGTGAGCAATGTTCCTGTTATTACATGTAATCAGACTTTTGTGGGGATTATGACAGTTCTGTGCGATATTTAGCCTATTTACTGCATTAAGCTCTATCTGGGTGGCACCAGTTTTCTCGGAGGTTAGTGAAATTCGTGGTTCACAGACGTACTTTGTGATTTTAATCCTGTCCGATTCTGCCAAGTCTGTGTTATTTTCTCGCACAGCCTTTGTAAAAATTCCAGAGCAAATTACCTAGTTTTTCAACAGTCCTCTACGAAATCTAATCCCATCGAGTGTGAATGTCTGTGATTGCTGATGCTGTATTATCCCAACACTTCTCCTCCTGTTTTTGACTAGCCTGGTCTACCATTTGCACACTAATCTTCCGCATGCTACACCTTTCAAGAATTGCAACGCAAAAGTCACTTGGAAAACTAGTCAGGTTTGAATACAGCTTTTGTTGAATAGCGGTTATCTTATTGGCTACACTTGGTAATTCAAGGGTGTTTTCACACAGGACCAATTTTTGTATTCCATCTGAATTATTCCTTTAGCATTTGTTCTTGTTGGTCAGTATAATCATGCATCTTTATGTCGCGCTGTTTTTCAGTGTTTTTAAACTGGCATAAGGGGAGAACATATGAAGAGATCTGTCATATAGACAATGAATGAGCATTTAACATTTCTGAAACTTAAAAATATCTTCAAAAGCCTTCATTATTTGACGATAACTTTCTACTTGTACTGTTGGATGGAATTGGATCGCCTCGCTGGTTCTGAAAAAGTGTGTTTTGCATATCATTTTTGTGGGCTGTGTTTGCCAGCCCTCTGTAGAAGTGTCTGGACCTATAAAAAGGCTCTCAAAGCCTCCCTTCTGTTATGTGGACAGTCAATGCTAGTTCCTGTGACTACTCACCATATTAAAACTAGTTGAGGTGGGATAATCTGGGATATGAGCACTGATATTTTTCTTGCTATTGTCAGGCAGACACTTAATATTATCAATATTGCTGATTTGATTGCACAAACACTATTGGCCACAATGACATCCCTTGATCAGCGATGAACTGACTTTAAGTGAAAAACTGACTGTTTTCTATTGTCCTCTTTTTAGTGCTGCTTTACAGCAGAATTGAATTTTGTTTGCATTATTGAAACATTACTCTAACACTGTAAAGCTGCTCTGACTCAATCTATATTGTATAAAGCGCTATATAAATAAAGGTGACTTGACTACTTACATATAGACATGCAGTGATGGTGGAGTTTGTTTCTGCAGCCCTCTTCACACACCGTCAGACTTTCCTCATCTAGCATGTCCAACAGACAGATAGGGCACATCTGCTCCTCCTCATCCTTCATGCTGCTCACAGGAGTACAGTAAAGTAAAGTAAAGTTACTAAGACACAAGGGCTTTGACAGATAGTCTAAATACACTTTGCTTCAAAAGGGTCACATCATGAGGAATCCGTTTTTTCCTTTTGAGATAAGAATTAATTGTACTACAAAAACACACCGTAACTTTCAGAACTCAAAGGTGACTCGTTCTGACAACTTACTGGCATCACACAGATACATCAGTACAATAACCAAACCTTATTTGGGGTTCAGACTCGGCTCGCCCACTCAGCTGGTGAGGTAATATGAATACAGACAGACAGATAGGGGAATCTGCTATAAGAGCAACAAACTATGAATTCGGATTGAATTATTTTGCTCAACTACTCCTATAATTATGATAAATAATGAAAACGTCTGAAACATACTCAGAATTATTAGATTAATTCTAATGAATAAAATAATAGAAACATCATGCAATTAATTTGATTAAAATTTTAAATCCATTAAATGCCGTAAAACACATGGATGATATGACCCCTTTAAAAACAGCAAGTATAATCTGATCCAGTGGTTCTCAACTGGTTTGGTCATGGGACCCATATTTTCCCATAGTCATCAAGCCGTGACCCACTTTGTTAGGAGATATATAATTTGTTTAAAAAAAAACAACAAAAAGCACAAAGCAAATTTATTTCACAAAAAATTGTTGACGCACACAGACAAGCACCGTCCCCCTTTACTTAACATACACATAAATTGTAAGAATATGACTAATACTGATTAATAAACAGCCTTTAAAGTAAGGCTAGTCCCAAACTAGTTTTTGTTAATACAGTTAGGTTGGTATGAGCCACCACAGTCATTTAAACATGTACAAAATAACACAAAGTGAAAATAACATGGCATTTTTGGGTTATGGAAACAACAGTTACCATGGTGAATAATAATAACATGAACTGTTCATGAAACATGCTCTTGAATAGAATGAATATCATACCTTCATGTAATCCTTCCCAGCTAACACACGAAGTTCCAGTTATGTGATTTATTGGTGTTTTACTTTTATTTCACACGTTGCATGCTCGTAGTTTCTTTTGCGCTTTAGTGAAGTGATATACAGCATTTGTGCATTTGAGCAACTTGCTACGAGCACATAACGTCTGACAGGACAAGATAGTTCGCTTTTCTGAGGTGAGAGACTTTTTATTTCGTAACAAGTTATGAAAATAATGATAGAATAATGACACTGACATTAAGCTTGACAACATCTCATCTGACCGCAGATATTTGTGCTCAGTGACCCATGTTTGTGTTGTTTTGAAGGTTTGTTTTTGGATTATGTTCCGGTTGGAAGATCCAAATATGGCCCATTATAAGATTTCTAACAGAGTCAGTCACTTTTTGATTTTTTATCTGTGCTCGTAGTTTCTTTTGCGCTTTAGTGAAGTGATATACAGCATTTGTGCATTTGAGCAACTTGCTACGAGCACATAACGTCTGACAGGACAAGATAGTTCGCTTTTCTGAGGTGAGAGACTTTTTATTTCGTAACAAGTTATGAAAATAATGATAGAATAATGACACTGACATTAAGCTTGACAACATCTCATCTGACCGCAGATACTCAATCGGGACAGCACGTTTTTCTCAGGCACTCTTTACTTAAACTGCGTCTGACAGAAGTGTCAACAGCTTTCACGCATGTCTTTCAAAATAAAAGTCTCGCATCAGAAAAACATTAAGAATTATGTTTTTTTGTTGTTGATGTTATTTCTTTGACTGTGCTCTCCGCGACCCACTCAGAATGGCCTTGCGACCCACCAGTTGAGAAACACTGATCTGATCCAGAGTCAGTCAGCATAGCCTGAAATCACACAGTTCAAGCAGATAAGAGGGTCTCTGGAGCTTTACAGACCTGCTTTCGTTGCTGGATGGGGAGGCGCTGGAGGTACATGTCGTGTGAGAGCTGGACATGCGAGACACAAACTTCTGGATGGTGCTGCGTGAGGGAGCTTTGATGCGTGAGCTGCGGCGATTGTGGTACTTCTGAAACAAGCTCTCCACCTGAATGAGATCAGACCATCAGTGTGCGCTGAGCTTGAGCGAAGGCACTGAGCTTGTTGTGCTCTGATTGTATTACAGTCCCCTCACCTCAAAGTTCTTGAGGGTCTTCCTCCACAGCAGAGGGTCCGACGGCTCCAGCTGGAAGACTCTGAGCATGACGAAGAGCACGTGGATGCAGAACGTCCCTCGGCCACAGCTACACGTCTGCTCAACATAACGGACACCATATGATGATGAAAAACCAAAGATTATATTAGTGACACAATTATGTCAAAGCATACATGAAGAACTACATTGTTTGGTGGAAGAATACTGTTTTTATTAATATCATTACACTTTATTTGCTCTGTTTTATTT